ATATATATATATATATATATATATATATATATATATCGAGCGGTATAACGAACGGTATACCGCTCGGTATATAGTGTCGTACCATGCCGAGCGAACGTCGAAACTCCGGTACCGTACGAAATTGCATACCTTGGTCTAAACATTATGACTTATCACTAGTTGAGCCATTTTGTCACGGACTTAGCTAGAATTGTTTAAGCCGTGAGGCATCCTTAGGCAATCTCAGCTAAATCCGAGAAGTTGGCGCAAGGGTGCTTTACAACTTAGGCAACTCAAGCTAAGGCATGACGTGCCCTTTCGATATGCGTCCGCAAAGGGTCAGCCAATTTGCAACGTCACTCAGGTCCTTCAGGTCCCGAAGGACCTGTAAAAGAGAAAGTTGATTAGTTAAAAAAGAATGACGGATAAGTCTCGACGTCTCGCAAAAAGGGAAGCTTTACAAGCAATTCAGCGAGCACCTTGCGTGCATGAGAGAAAAGAGAGGAAGGAGAAAAACAAGGACTTTAGAAGGTAGAACGAACAGTTGCAAGTCTACAAACAACTGCTAACCGGGTGCCGGGCCCGAAGGCAAGTTCCCGTCAAGTTAACGTGCAAACTTGTGAAGATTGTTCAATGCCCGACACTACCCCGAAACCCCATCCCCCTGGTGGCACTCGGGAGGTTCCAGGGTGCTAAGATGGTTGACATTTTGGGTGTTGCAACGGGCTATAGAAAACAGCCCGTGGCATGTGAAAACAGAGCCATTTTGGGATAGTTTTGCCCGGCACAGCGAGCGGTTGCACTGTAGCGCTGCAACCTGTTCGAACATGCATTTTTACAAGCAAAAACACACAAAACCAAGACAAAACATACTGTCAAGCATCTTTACGTATATGCAAAAGCGACGAACGGTTCGTTGAACGAAGTTGTTGCGGGTTCGCGACGACTGTTCGTGACAATATGGTGTAAACTTCATTAGGTAAATTTTCTGAGCCATGACAAATTTAGACAACTAAATAAGAAAAAAATATTCCATCAGTTTAAGATAGTTTAGTTGAAAATGATGGTATCTCATGGTGTTATTGTGATCGAGTGAAATGAACATGGCTATACTTCCTTGACCCATAACAAAATTTACTACCAGCGATAAAGAAAGACAAAAATGACAGAAGTGAAAGGGGGAGTGCAAAAGATAGAACTGGAAAGGAAATGAAAAGAAATTGTATGAGAAATTCCATCTCCTAAATGGAAAGAAACTATTTGATGCCATGCCCCACTTAAGCAGCCTTTTCTGCTTATCTGACTTTTATTTTTTATTTAATTTGAAATTTTCCCTTATTTTTTAAAAACATATATCAGGAGCCATGTTGTCCACTCGACTAGAAGAGAAACAAGGGGAAGTTGAGGACAAGTATGTCAGCATTTTCAATATAAAGGATGAGGTACAATTACTTAGCCTATTGATTATGCATATCCTTGGGACATGATTTTGGTGTTGCAAACACAACTTTTTTATATGAAAAGCTTTTCATTCTATGAATTCATGATACTCATTTGTTGCTAGAAATTTGTTTGGAGTAATGAAACATTGAAGTAAAAGGTTTTCAATGGAATTCATTCTTTTTCTTGGTTTGCTAGATTTCTTAATCTCGCTCTGATTTTTAATGTCACACACATTTTTTAAAGTATTCTTGTTTGCTTTGTTGCACTATATGACATTGTTGAACATATTCAGTATATACCAAGTCCTTGATATATTGGTTAGCAAGTAAACAGTACCTCAACTAGTATCGCTTCTAAGTATGTGTAGCTTAGTAAGTTGTTGCTTTGCAAATTTATAGGTTCCTGCCCATTCTTGGCTAAGTTTAAAGCAGTAATCAGAAAAAATTCACTTCGTAAACCTTAATTTGAATGGCTAGGGGCTTATTTGTCCTAGACCTAGGTTCTAGCCAGATTGGGTTTGATAAGGACATTACTTAACGGTACACAGTAGTGGTGCAAACAAAACCAACTAAAGGATCATAAGTGCTTAATCTATATTATGCTTGTTCAGTTATCTTGTCATCCTGATTGGAAGGGTCATAAGTGCTTAATCTATATTATGCTTGTTCAGTTATCTTGTCATCCTGATTGGCTGGTCTCGTCTCTCCATTCACCACAGTCTCTCTCTTGCCTACGGCTTGCCCCCCTTCATTTGTTAGCCTCCATTACTAGCCTGTGATTTGGGCCACTGCCAGAGAGGTGTTGGGCTGTTGGCCATGGGCTTGGCAACAGTGAAAACAAAAGAAAGGGAGGAGACCCTCTCCCTCTCGCCAGTCTATTATCAGCTAATTTCTGTGCTAACAACAAATTGAACGTAAGCTTAATTGCACATATCATAGGGTGGCAACAGTAGCACAGATGGTTGAGTCGGCAAGTCGGTGGTGGTCTCCATTTAAAGTTTAATAGTAAGTTTTGGTGAATAAGGACCATAGTGATATTTGAAACCAACTTGCCTTTATACGAGAAAGTGATGTATTTGTGGAATAGTGTAGTTTTCCTTCTTTAGTTAGTGGCTTCTATCCTCTCCTCTCTTACATTTTTCTTACTCTTCGTTGGGTAACCTTAACATGGAATGTAGGGAGTAGAGGGGGCATGGAATATGGATGACTATCTATTTCCTTTTTAGGTTGCCTTAACATGGAAGAGAAAAGGGAGAGAGGGTCTGCATGTTGATGTGATATTTTAGGGTGGTATTTGTGGATTTTTTTGGACTTAATAAAATCAAGTTGATGCATATATATTTAAAGAGCTTTACCAAATGAAGGCTCAAGTAAGAAATATAATATTAGACCTGACGGGTTAAGACCTTACAATCCGAAGCTGACCTGGATCTGACTGGCCTAGTCTTACTACTTTGACCCAAACCAACTTAAATCAGAATACCTGGTTGATTAGCTGATAAACTTACACTCTTGTCAATGGCAATTTATTTTATTAACCTACAATTTTCCTTGGAAGAAGATTTCTTAAATTTCAAATAAAATATTTAGCGATCATAAGTTAATCAGGTCATGTGGGTCACATGCGTCATTATTGTGTCAGTTAGGTTCATACAGGTTAAGCGATTGATGCAAGTGGTGACCCTTGTTTGAAATGGGTTGAGCAATTAGACCCATTTATGCCACAAACCATATTAGGTCAAAGCCAAAATCCACTGTGTCAAGTTTGCATGTCTTGTTGAGCTTTTACACCCCCTCTATGTGGAGCATATGTGGCTCATATTCAAATATTAAAAGATCATGCATATACAAGATATATTTAAAGAATAAATGCTTAAACATATGCCATTATTAGTTTTGTGCTTGAGGATTGCTTACATACAGTTGTATGACTGCATAAGCAGCTGCATACATTATTATCATTTTCGTGGTTGAGAATTGCACATATACAATTGCAGACATATGTTGTGGTACACACCATATTTGATGGAAGCATAGGCCTTGTGCATTGTTAATATGAAAAGTGAATTGTGCATTCTATTATTGACCTCTTTATTTTGAGATTGGCTTGTATTTCATTTGGCTTGCATCGGTTTTGCTCTAACATTTCGATATGATTCAGGTTGATTCTGAATCAATGATCGTTGGTAGGGCAGCCATTGGAAATCTGCTGGGGGGGATCGGTTACTTCTATGGCCAATCAAGGATTGCCTTACCCAAAGGTTTCACTGTAAGTTAGAGAAATTAACTGGACTTAAATTTTCATCTGTGGTTCAACAGTAGGTTGCATATATTTTCTCTTGTTCCACATTCCTTTTTTCGTTGGTAAACCATTAGAATCCAATGATCTTAAGGTAGAAACCTAGCTCATTGTTTGCCAGTGGGACTACATCTTTGGAAATATTGTTAAAAGCGTATTTGTGTCATATTTGAAGTTTGAAACCAACTACATTTCATCAATATGATCTGGCTATCTTTTGTTTCCTTTTGTTTGTTTATGTTTTGTAAAACAAATCAAATGATCTCCCAAATTTACAAGACACATGATATTCCTTTCGTGCTTTACATCACTAAAGCTGTCGCTAATTAGATCATGGGAAGCACATGGACATAATATCTACTGTTGTCTAAATATTTGGTTTTTTCAAGCCATCGTTATGTTGTACTGACTACTGATTTCACTGAGCTTATCTGATACAGATTGACATTCTCTGAAATTGGTAGTGTGAAGAAGCTTTGACATTTATGCTACTTGAATTAGTCTTCATGATCTTTAAAGTTGCTAGTTATGTTCTTATTTAGCCTTGAGAGGAAGGCACGATAGGCATGTAACACTTGTTCTCTTTAGCAGCAAGAGAATGGTGAGAAGTTTATTTCATATTGGCCAGCTGCACTTTTCACAGCTGTTCCTAGCCGATCATTCTTTCCAAGAGGTTTTTTGTGGGATGAAGGCTTCCATCAGATGATCATCGGGTTTGTTGTATGCCACAAATCTAATCATTATGCAGAATTTTTTGGTAGATTGATTAGACATTTATTACACAAATATCTGGATTCCTTTGTTAGGCATTTGCTGATGTAATGTATCTCTTCTTTAAATTATGTATCATGTCAATTTTAGGCGTTGGGATGCTAAATTATCCATGGATATTATTGGACATTGGTTGGATCTCATCAATATTGATGGATGGATTCCTCGTGAGCAGATTTTAGGAGCTGAAGCTTTGAGGTAATCTGGTCTTTACTGGTACAACTATCTTTGCAGTAAATGGAATATAATTCCAATTATTTATTCCTCTCTTTTAATATTTGCAGTAAGGTCCCTGAGGAATTTGTTCTTCAATATCCAACAAATGGGAATCCACCAACTTTATTTCTTGTTCTACGAGGTGTGATAACTTTACTTGCCATTGTGTTGTTGGGCCTAACAATGATAGGAATTGAAAATATGTAAAAGATCTTTACTAGATGTGCATATAGCATCTGGTATGAATTTATGGCCAAATTGATTAATGGTATGTGCTGTGTACCTTGCTCATCATGAAACATTGCCACACCATTGTCACCTAACATTAAGTCGTTGCCACCTAACTTCCATGTCAACAGTTCACACCAATAAATGAAGAGACTTCTCATTCGCTACATGATAAAACTAGTGTATTATACCTATTATGCCGGTGGTTTAATACTTCCATGAACTTAATGGAACTCATATCCTTGTTGACATATGCATTAAGAATCACAAATTGCTTTTCTTTCTTCATTTGTATGCTCAGATCATCCTTTTTACAATTGCAGTTAACTGTGGTGATTTACCTTTGAACCTGACTGTGGTAAACATTTTTACATTTTGAAAATTTGTAATTCTAAGACAATTTAGTTCTATTGAATTGAATTAGATAAAGAAAAAAAAAAAAGCTTCTGTAACTATGGTCATTGTTGTTGAATATCTATATAGGAAGTAGATTTTATATGTCTGTCATTGTTTATATTGGAAATCAAATCTGCATGTGGAGGATTGGATTTATTGTGGAACTTTGTGTTTTCCAGACTTGTTAAATGGCATACGGATGGGAAAATTTTCATCTCAAGAAACCAACGAGATTACTGATTTTCTTAGTAGAGCCTACATTCGCTTAAATGCATGGTTCCAGTGGTTCAATACTACACAATCTGGTGAGTCAGTTTTCATGAGAACTATGATGTGCATGGATGTCTCACATAATCTCTTTCATCTTTGGTAATGTAAATTGTTTGTCTTGTCTGAAAACATTTCATGATGGGATGCTTTGATTTATATCTTTCTTTTCATTCATGAATAGCTGTAATCAGTAATTCAGTATGATGTATGTATATAGTTGGTTTTAGCGGTGGTATGCTATGCAACTTATTTTCTCAAAATTTTTAGCATATCATATGTTTAGTGATAAGTAGTCTCTTATCAGAAGTTCATTTTCTTATGTTTGATAGATGTCTTTGGTATGCTAATTGAGGTCCATCATTGTGATAAATTGGCATTTAGTTCTGCAGTTTTTGTGTAGTATGCAATGATATCCACTGTTCCTTTTGCATTTCATGCTTACGCTTTAAAACATTTAACAAATATTATGGACATTATGGAACCAACACTATGGAAATATGGAAGTTCTAATATCTGACATATTGTTTCCTTAATAATTATTTTTCAGGGAAGGATGTTGGTACATTTTATTGGCATGGAAGAGACAATACAACAACCAAAGAACTAAATCCAAAGGTTTGATTATATTTTTTTACTTCTCATCTAACATTGTTTGCTTATTAGATGTTGAGTTATTAATGCCTATCTCAACCAGGCTTCATTGTTCACTATTAATGAAAAGGTTCTACATGCCTTGATAGGATTGGTACCTAGACCATCATCTTTCGCCTAGTAGGGTTATAATGGGCTTCATGACTGTTATGAGTGCCGTCTTTGACATATCATCCAATGGCTGAAACCGAGTGTGTCAGGCGGCATAGTTTTTATTTTTTTGCAGTTTTCTGCAGTTGTCTTTTTTTTTTCGTTCTCTCTCCTTTCATGAGTTCTTTCTTTTGTCATGTTCTGTCTTTTTTCCCCCTCTTCCATCTCTTCTTCTCCCCGTGGTGTCATTGTTATCGCTGGCTCCTTCTCGTATAGGTCGCCGCCATATCTGTCTTCTACTGGTATGCCTCTAACTCGACCTTCACCTCCTCTTCCTTTTTTGTCTTCTCCTACTGCTCTTTTCCTTTTCTCCTCCCTTCTCTTCCTCTTTCCCTTTGGGCTAGGTGGTACTAACTTACCTGTCCAGCTGCCGACCTATATTGGTACCAGACTGATATTTTAAACCTTGACCTGGAGTCTCTAGACATTCACTAGTAAAAGGCATCATTGGCAAGGTGATCATTGTACACCATACCATTATGTCCCTATCCACTTCTATACAATTCAAAGGTATTTTTTGAAACTTGGAGACTCATCTAGTATAGATAAATATATAATTGGATTTGCAATAAATGATTGCAGAATTCTAACAGGAGGGTTTTCATGAATGGGCTTTCGTTCAGCAAAGAGATGTCATTCTGTACAACACTTTTACAGTATTGCTAACATGGCACGTGCTGGTCCAGATGTTGGATGTGTGCCTGGAAGCAATGCATTATATGGTAGAAGAGAGAAGTTATTGGATGTATGCCATGAATTAAGTGAAAGGGGAAATTGCATCCTAGACTTGGTCATGAGGATCAGGTTTCTTGTTGAGATACAGATCTAGAATCATAGTAAAGAGTGGGAAGCAAATATGTGGTTGGTTACACATCATAAAGCAGCTAAACAAGTAATTTATTTTATATCACATTTAAAAATCGTGGATTGTTATCTCCTCTAATACACAGGATTTCATTATGGTGGACATGCTGCTTGCTCGTTGTGGTGATTGGCATGTTCCATTCGCCCAACATATTTTCTAGCTCAGGCACCATGTTCTTCTGCCAATGCCAGTCACAATGTGCTAGATTTTGTTTTGTTCGTGACTCAGAACCACACCATGCCTAGTATGGGTAGCACGCGGCATGAATAGTCCTTATCTTTCAGCAATTTTAGCATGATTATTTGTCAATATCATTATTTACTTTTCAGACACTGACATCTGGATTGGATGATTATCCACGTGCATCACATCCAAATGATGAAGAACAACACTTGGATCTAAGATGCTGGATGCTACTTGCTGCAGATTGCATGCATTCAATTGCAGAGCTTCTGAAGATGGAAAATGCTTCAGCGATGGTTTTGTTTGATGTGTTAGATTGGGATTTAATGTTGGTGTAGACTCTAGACTAAATTATTCTTGGAAACTTTGCAGGATTATCACCACATGTCAAAGCAGCTTTCAGACTTTGAGAAACTTAATCAGGTGCTTGTTTTCTGCTTATACAAGAATCTACTAGTTACTTGGAAGATTATTTTGAATCTCATAATTCTGTAAATTAAATCTCTCTTTGTTTACTAATGATTACTTAATTTTTGGTAAGCATTACATTATAGTTTAAAATAGCTCTGGACATTTTTCTGTTTGTCATTTAGGATAAATAAGGTATATATGCACCTGATGCCAGAAAATATCATATAATTGTAAATTTGTAACAATATTATCCTAAATCAATGTTATTGTTAAACCCTTTCTGTATGACATATTGACCATGATCAAAATTAGACTGGAGGAATTTGCTTGCTTCTTTTTGCTGCCTTTTCAACTGATTGATGCTGGATCTATGATCAAATGGCTGTCTGATAAGCAAATATTTGTTGGTGAAGACTATGAAACTTAAGTTTTGCTTGTCTGCATTTTAATGGCTTGCTAGAATCTTCACAATATTAAAAAAAAATAAATCCATTTTGAATTATTGTCTTCTCCACATTTTATATGATTTCATGGTAAACTAACTATTCTGCAATGTCTAAATGCTGTTTAAGTATCCCCTTTGTGAGAAGGTGCACACACTAAAGTAAATTATTATGTCAATCAAATTTCAATTTGCTTTACTGTTTGTTGAATACCTTTTTTATATCAGATGCATTTGGATCATGCCTCTGGAGCATATTTTGACTTTGGATATCATACTGAGAAGGTATGCTAATTTATCTTGTGAACTCTTCGGATTTAAGCCTAAATTGTTTATTGTAATGTCTACTTGATCATTTTTTTGTTTACTAATACGAAGATTTAAGTTTAACACTAGCTGTGCCGATTGGCTGCCAGAATAATACATGTAGGAATACCAAGCCATGCTGACATTGCCTGGTGTTTTGGAGCAAAAATATATTGAATAGAAAATGTAAAGAAAAATATTTCAAGAAAATACTAAAAGATTGAGTTTTAAATGGGTATATCAGTCGACTAAGACAGAAAACAGCAGTAATATCTGCCGGAATAATAAATGTAATATCCCCTTTCATTGCTTGAAATGTAGAATGCTTCATCTGCCCAAGAGCTGTGCCAGTTCTCTCTTCGCATGTTTATTTGGCTTTTCCTTCTGGAGTTTGTTTCCGTAGCTTGTCTGATGAAGAATGTTCTCATGAGATATCTATGGTAATTGCCCTTGGACAATCTTCTCCTGAAAAATGTTCTATTAAAACACAAGTTACACTTAAAAGATACCATTAGATTATTTTTTTCATGTTGTCTTGGTTATAAGATCAGCTATGACCTATTTGGCCATTCATAGGCATCATGTATTATCCTCTTTTGTTTTAATTCTCTACATGTCAAGGTTTATCACATCATTCAATTTAGTCTTGAACAAGTGTTTTTTAATATGAAGATTCGTCTATGATGATAATGTTCTTACATACAAGCAAGGTTTGCAATACTGTACCGTACCGGAGTTTCGACCTGGGCTCGGTACCGGTACGGTACGGTATACCGCTCGGTACACCCAGGTGTACCGAACGGTATATTCAAGCGTGCCGAGCACTGTAGCAGTGCTACAGTACTGCTACAGTATCGGAACGGTAACATATGGTCCGCATACCGGAAGCCTGTCGGACCGGTACATACCGCCCGGTACGGACCGGTACTGCAAACCATGCATACAAGCCCATTGGTTTGCTTTTATTGTCAAATATAATTATTCGTAACTAAATCGTGACTTTGTCCTAGATTGTTACTTCTTCGGATTTGTGTTTCCGGTTTTCTCTTCTACTAACATTAGTCCTGCTTTACTATCTACTTTGATTTAATAGTTTTAATTTTTTGATCAACACATGATTGTTCATTTGTTTTTCTTTGTTTATTGAAGTTTCTTTTGCATGAAACTGCAAATCCTAATGCGTAGGTTCGTTTGAGGTGGCATGAGGTGAAAGTTCTGGATACTGTGCAAAGGGAACTTGTTCGCGAAACATTGGAGGAGCCCCAGCTGAAACTAGTTCCCCATCTTGGTTATGTCAGCCTTTTCCCATTCATGATGGGGATCATTCCATCTGTTAGTCATGGATCAACCCTGTAGTGCTTTCAGAAGATATTGTACCTCTGAAAGATCTATCCTGTTTTCTGTATTAGTGTTTTAATGGCCAATAATTTGTTTATGACCACATTGTCTGTTCAGGAATCACCAATCCTTGAGAAGCAGTTGAGGCTCATATCTAACCGCTCAACCTTGTGGACAGATTATGGAGTGCGTTCACTCTCTAAAATGAGGTAACTGAATGACTAAATATCACAGACACTTTTTTCTTTATGCCTTGATGTTCTTTTTATGACAACATATTAGTCTCCTTGGCATATTCCAATTTTTTGCTTCTTTAAGAACAAGTACCAGGATAATTTATAACTTCCATATTCATTTTGAAGTCATGTGAGATCCTGACAGTAATTAGCTCCTTCTACCAAAGAAGTGGAAAAAAAAGGACCAAATAATTTTTTTAAATGAAGTGAATACCTACTACCCAGACACCTGGTGAACCAACCAAATATTATTTAAAATGAAGAAGTTCCATTGACTTCCTGATGACATCAGGTGATCCATCTAGTTAACAATTGAAACATCCTTCAGGTGATAGAATAGTATGACACGAAGTTTGTCATTTCGCCAGTGTTCCAGGTTCTGTATAAGTGGCGTGATGGTCAGCTAGGTTACCAAGAAGCATAAAGTTTCATGGGTTTAGGGTCTGCCATTTAAAGCGGGTGAACCTAATTGCTTTAGCAAACATGATTCTGAGGTCAGTGTGAGAACTTCATTTACTTTTGTGGTTCGATTTTGCTACTTACAGCATCTAGATTTCTCTATATGAATGTAATTGATGCAAGCTGCGACTGTTTTAAATTCCGTGGTGTTTGTTTTAGGTGCATGGTAAGCAGCTTGTTTTATTAAGATGATTGACTTGTGAATGTAAGGACTGGTTGCTGAGATTTGTTATTTTGTGTAGCTCCTTGTACATGAAAAGGAACACAGAGCATGACCCACCTTATTGGAGAGGTCCGATTTGGATAAATATGAATTACATGATTCTCTCAGCACTCCACCACTACTCACAAGGTACAAATAGGAATGTTTTGGTAGCAAAGAACAGGTAACCTTACATTATTTATCTGATGATGACCGGCTACTTTGATGCCAATATTCTACAGAGGATGGACCATACAGAACTATGGCTGAGACACTATATCAAGAGCTAAGGTCAAACTTGATACGGTAATATTTCTTGTTGCTGAACCCGATCAAATTAGGTCCTTATAGAAAAGTTGATTTCTTACCACAATTTGCTGCTTCTATTGTACAGTAATATTGTTCGTAACTACTATGCGACTGGGTTCTTATGGGAGCAGTATGATCAAAAGAATAAAGGCAAGGGTAAAGGTGCACGACCGTTTACCGGTTGGACTGCGCTTGTTCTTTTGATGATGACAGAAGCTTATCCTAGCTTACAACGGTGAAATTTTTGGTATATCGTGAGTCGATAGCGCGCTTGAGAGACAAAAACAGTTGGCCTAGCATTCAGGTGGTGTCTGAAGCAATCTGTTCATCTTCCATACAATGATTGAAGCCCCATTTCTTATTGGCTAACTAGAATGATAAGAGGGTCAGATACCTCATTTTCTGTATCAGGATATATGCATTTTTATATGGTGATGCATTATTTTTGAACTTGAGCAATGAAAGGTCTGTTCATGCAAGTTTATTAACTTAGCAGTATTATAATATGAAAAGCAGAATTAGACGAGGGAGAAGCAAGTGAACATCTCTGCATGGGTTATACAAAAGACCCAAAGAGAAAATTCTGAAGCTATTGCTTCGAGCTTTTCTTTCACTTCAACTTTCATGTGGATACAGCATAGAAATGCCCTTTTGTAGACTCTCGTGCTTCCCAAGTTTTTATGTTCTTCCAAATGGGAATACTGTTGATTAAGGTGAGTATTCTCGGTCATTAATGTTCACCAGATTGATTATAGAGAATAATAATGAGATAGATGCATATAGACACTAAACGAGATTGAATCAATCGACATTATGGTTTAGAGAGATGAAAGGATATCTTTGAAAATTACTAAAAAAATTTAAAAAGATATGAATAATTCTTAATTTAATCATAAATATTATCCTGAAAGGAACGAAAAGGAACAAAAATTCATATAGTTGACTCGCATAGTCAGAAAAATTAAGCAGTTTGTATATAGTCAAGTTGGAGATACAGCTACGCTTGCGTTGTTTTGTGATCGAACTAAGCGACCCGGTGACCTTTAAGATAGGAACGAGAGATGCAGAGATGAGATACGTTACGTGTCTCACCCAAAATTAAAAAACAGTCAACGGTCAATTATTGCTGCCTCGAGGTTCTCAACGATTTGTCTCAGACGTTGACTATGACGAAGGATATGGATCAACTTGCCAAAAGATTCCAGGAAGACCTTTAAGATAGGAACGAGAGATGCAGAGATGAGATACGTTACGTATCTCACCCAAAATAAAAAAAAGTCAACGGTCAATTATTCCTGCCTCAGGTTCTCAACGATTTGTCTCAGACGTTGACTATGACGAAGGATATGGATCAAGTTTCTGTATCTCCAACGATGTTAACGTTCTCTTTTAGACATCGGAAAAAAGGACTCGACCCCAAAGATCAAAGCGGACACACCAAGTTCTTCATTCCAGTCAAAGCCGTTGTTCCATTGGGGAATACTGGAGGAGCATTGTTTGGTTGAATCTGATCAAAGAAAGAAAGAAGACCAGCAAAGCTCAGCAACCCGTTATTGAATCAGATTCATCTCGTGAAAACCATCGTAACCTCCACTGCTTCATCCTCGACAATGAGACTGCTTGAAGAAATTTTCTTGATCCTATTAGCTGCGGTGGCGGCAGCATCTGCAGGTGCAGTTCTAATCCTCCCTAACCTTCTCATGGTTACTAACCAAATGCTTGGCCGGTAAGCTGCCATTTTCATTCCACAAACAGCTTTGCTGCAGAATGGAAACTTTGAATTCCCTCCATCAAATATCAAGCCAAACTCCAGCACTCCCCTCCTGCCTCTGTCCAAGAACAACACTATCCCCGGCTGGTCCTTCAACGGCACCGTGTACTATGTGACTGCAGGCCCCAGCATATCGCTGCCTGATAATGGACATGCTATTCAGCTGGGTCTTAATGGAGTCATACGCCAAACAATCAGACTTACCTCAATTTACGCGCAGTACATCCTTACGTTTTCGATAACTTCAGTCAACGGAAGCTGCAAAGCTCCTACTGCTGTGCTCAATGTGTCTTTTGTGGGCAGCTGGTTTTATAAATCCTCGGTGTTCTTAGTTGAAGGAAAATATGGGAGAAAATCCTGGGAGAGTCATGCTTGCAGTCTAGGGCGTATGGCAGGTGAGGGAGACCCAGTTGTTCTGGAGCTTCGGAGCCAATCTGTAGAGGCTGATCAAAATGTCACTTGTGGACCTGTGGTGGATACAGCCATCCTTAAAAGGTTCAATCCCATGGGTGGATATGGTATGTGATTTCTACCAACCTGTAACATTCTTTCAGAAACCAAGAGAGCTAATCATGTCAAGTTATTATGGTGCAATTAAGTAGATATATCTGTAGAGAATAGAAGTCTCTTTAAGACAATTTTAAATGCTGGAAGGAAAGTACAAATACTTGTGAAACTCAAAATGATCTAATAGTAAAGCAACCTTATAAATACATGATTCTTCTGGTTGGATATGAAAGGACACATAGCTTGGCATCCAAAAAAAGACCAATTTTAACACACATAAAAGGAGACATTTCAAATATATATATATA